TTTTTTGTTAGTGAAACGTTACGTTCCCAAAAGGTACTTTAAAGTGTATAAATAAGTTACCCGGGCAATTGATTTACATCAGCCAATCAGACGAAAGTCTGTCTATGAGTGTTGATCACCCTAACGGATCATGGACATCGACAATATAATTGCAACGCACGAGGCCTTCGGCCACGTGCTTTTGCTATTATCCTGCTGATACCTGTGTATCCATCAAAATTATGCCAGATAACAAGAAAAAATTCTTCAAATCGATACTATTTTTTCTATAACCTGTTCTTACCCTAACATGAAAAAAGGGCAATGCTCGAATTGGCCCTAACTCTAGCCATTAAAAGGATGACTTAGAAATTAATCTTACAAGCTATACTACTACTGTATCAAAAATTTAGTACGTATAATTTTCGTAGATCCGTCCGAATCTGTACTAAATGCGCACCTGTTCATATCAGATTCATACAGTTAAGTACTATTTTTTCAATCTTGTTTTACCTCATCGAGCAAGCTAACTTTTTTTTCATTCCAATTTACTATTCTATATTACTTAATACTACGATACATTACATATTATATCGTTTATTCGACATTTTACTTATTAATACCGTCGTTAATATTCTTACATATGAAATCTTTGCTAATAAAATCTTTTTTCGGGTCTACGTCGTATCTGTATGTCCCGAAGGGCCATTTGTCAGAAAAAGTCCCAATATGGTATGATCATCAAGCGTTTACAGGATTACGCGTTTCGAGTCGAAAATTTTTGTGTTTAGATTGACATTTTAAAAAAAATTAATACCTTAACTTTCACAGCTCGTATCTCGATGAATTTTAAGCCTGTCTTGATTATTTAATAGTCAAAGGAAAGCTTACGAACTAAGCTTTCTTCTGAATATTAAATCATCAAGATAGCTTCAAAATTCATTGAGATACGAACTGTGAAAGTTAAGGTATTGATTTTTTTTAAAATGTCAATCTGCCTTATTTCTATTGACGGCAGCCCATTTGTTAGTACTATTGTTATGGAATGGCTGTGCAAGGTTTAGAACCACAGATATTGGTTCGAGACATAGATCTTGGTTCGAACCACGGATCTTGGTTTGATACTACAAATCTTGGTTCGAGACCACAGATCATGGTTCTCGACCATGGCTATTTTACAATGTATAAATATAACAGCTAAACTGATAAAGGGAAATGGAGAATTCCGCATGAGTCATAAATGAAATAATAAATAACGCCCTTATGAATCGTATACACTCCTTAATAACCCACTATCATTAAATTCGAATCCTTTATAACATTCATCTCGCTTGTAACCCTGAGCTAATTTGATCTCATGTTAGTCAAGTCTCTCCCACGGTTACAACACCGTCCGAAAGATGAAATTCGACAAATGGACATGCTAAAAATTTAACTATTCAACGAATATTCAATGAAGTTATCTGATTTTCCTTTAAAATTTTGTCCAATATCCGATATTTTTTTTTTAAAAAAAAAAAATTGAATGAATAAATATCCGGCTAATTATTTTTGATCATCTTTTTTAATTGACTGTTTTGATATTTAATAAGTAGTACGTAGAATGATTGTTTTATAAATAAAAGTCTTTCAGTTTTGTGACTAATTCGAGGTTATTTTTGCAATGAATGTTAATGTGCTTGAATGATCAAAATCTTTTTATTTATTTAAAAGTATATATAAATAAGCTACCAAGCAATTCCCCACTTCGCGAGAAATAACGATGACATGACTAATTATTTTAATCACACTAAATGAAAAAATAAAATTAAAACCAAATTTAAAATTATATCTCAAATATTTAGTTTAATAGCCAAATAGAAGCCTAACACTAAACATAAATTCCTTAAGCTTTTATTTTGAAAATAATTACATATTGACAATTTTTTTTTTGATTTTCGAAGGTTCTATGCATAAGTACAGTAGAAGTTCTAATAATACAAATATATTATATAGGAATAGAAATAATATATATAGTTGGATTAAAAAATAAATAATAAATAATTTAACATTATCTAAACTTCAATAAAATTAAAACAATTTTAATTAGACAATGCAAATATATTTAAAAACCAATTTAATAAAGATTATATATATAAAGTCACTCGACTGGGGTAATAAGAATGACCTTAGCATTCTTATTGATATGATAGCAACTTTTCGAGCTTCTTCTAAATGATATGTCAACCCATTCATCATTGAAAAAGAAGTTTTAGCAATATTCATTTTTTCATGTGGTAACCGATTTCACTATTGCTTGTTATCAACGTTCCATTGTGATAATTCGTCTAAATCGGTTAATTCTTTTTTTATTACAGTTGAATCTCTTGAACTTTTTGGATTAATATTATCTTCTATATTTCGATAAACATCTACAGTATTTTCCATTTGATCCAATAATATAGTAATCCTATTTTCAGAATCATGTAATTTACGTTCCAATTCTGAATTTGTTTTTTCAAGTCTGCGGATCAAACTTTCTTTTTGTTCATTCCAATTATCTTGCCTTTTCCCATTCGATTCTTGATCATTTTGGTTACCCAAAGCGTCATTCAATTGTTTATCTAATAACGCATTCAATGATAAAGCTTCATCCAATTCTTCTTTGATTTGTTGATGCTCCTTTATTAACCTTTTGTTTTCTTCTTGAATTTCGGATAACTCTTTATTAAAATCTTCTCTTTGTAATTCGAGTTGTTTATTTGCAAATTCTTGAATTTTGGATTCTCTTGCACCGATGCTTACAGATGTTCGATTTTGTACCTCCAGTAATTTTTCTTCTAATTCTTCATTACGTTTTTGCATAGACTCAAGTTGTGTCTTTAATTTAGCTGCTTCAGTTTTACTATTTTGTAATTCAACTTTTAGGCGTCTCAACATTTTTTCTGTACCTTGTACATAATGCATAGCAGTATTGTAATCATTTACGACTTTTGCTAATTTTTCATTGGTTTCAATAATTTGTTTTTGTAATTCATTGTTTTTCATCTCGATCGATCGTTTTTCATCCGTTAATTGTTTACTGCTTTCTGAAAGACTTTCGTTTGTTCTCTCAAGTTCCTTTTCGAGTGCTTGTGATTTATTTTCAGCTTCTTGAACTTTTTTCAACGCTTCTTGATATTTTCTTATAGATATTTTAAGATCATTCTGAGTCTTTGCATGTAAAGCTTCTAATTTTTCACATTGTGCTGCCATTTCTTTAACTTTATCAGCACCTGAATTTCCACTACCATCATCTAAAATTCCACGTTCAGACATTACATCTCTCATCATTCCAATTTTAACTTCTGTATCTTCAAGTATACGAGATTTTTCTTCCAAGAGTCGTTCTTTCTCACTTAATTTTCCTTTTGTTCGTATAACTTCTTCGGAAGCTTCAGCCAATTGTCGTTGTAATGCAGTATTTTCTGATCTTGCTTTCATTATAGTTGACTCCATTTGTACAATTTTAACTTTAGCACTTAATAAAGAATTAGCTGCTTCATTTGCAGATTTTTGAGTTTCTTCATTAATATTCTTTAATACAGCAATTTCTTGTTCAAGTTGTGCCATATTTGAATTATCATTTAAATTATCATCTACGGGACTATTTAATAATTTATTCACACCATCCTCCATCATCTCTCGAAGTGTAGCACTTGCTTTACGTTCTTCCTCTAATAATTTTTCTAAATTATTAGCTTTCTCTGCTGCACGACTTAAATCTCTCATTCTAACATCTAATTGTGATCGAAGACCTGCTGATTCTTTTTCTAAATTTGCAATATCTTGTTGTGTTTGTTTCCATAAACTTTCAGATTCACTTGCACGTTTACTTGCTGTAGTCATTGCACTATTTGCTTTTTCGAGAGTTCTCTTAAGATTATCAACAGATTGTTGTAATGATGTTATTTGTGTTTGCGATTGTTCATTAATATTTTGAGATTTTTTCAATTCCATATTTGAATTTAATAATTGTCCTTTAACTTCCCTTAATTCTGTTTCTGCAGCTGTAGCTCTTGAATGTAAAGCAGCTAATTCTGTTAATGATTTTGCATGTGCATTTTCTGCTTCTTCAGCTCTTTCAACTGCCATTTTTGCACGTTCTTCTGCGGATTCTCTTGAAATTTTTTCATCATTAAAATCTTGTTGTAATTGTATAAATTTAGTTTGAACAGTTTCTTTCTCGTTTAAAGCATTCATTAAACGTTTTTCTAATTCATTATTTCGTTCTGATTCAATTATTATTAAATCAGGTTTTGATTGATTTTTTAAGGCAGCAAGTTTCGCTTTAAAATAAGCAGCTTCTTGTAATGCAGCTGTTCTTATTTTTTCGGAATCTGTAATCTTTTGTGATGCAGCTTGTGCTTGAGTTACTATGTTTGCCTAATGTTATAAAAATAATGTAAATATAATTTAGACGAATGTAATTTAAAAACATATAATATCGGCGGATTTGCGGAAATTGTACAAAATTTGGGTTCATTTTGTACTTTGAAGATACATTTTAGGATCGATTCTAGGACCATTTCCGCAAATCCACCGATATGATATATATATATATATATATACTATATGTGTAGATATGTTACCTTGTATTTCATCAATTCCTGCTTGATTTTGACAATATTCAATAAAAGAGAGAATTTTTCTGAACTTTTATCAGTATTATCTATTAATTGATCTAAATCAACTTTTTCTGAATTATCACCTTCAAATTCAACCTGATCAATAGTATAACCATATTTTCTAGCTATAGCAAGTTCTGCTTTTAACCACATTTCACGTTTTGATAAAGTTTTAATTAAATTATCTCTTTGTTCAAGTACTTGCATAAATTCATTATATTCCACATTCATTATATTAGCCGAAGAATGATCAACAGTATCCGACATTCTATAATGACCTTCAGGTGGTATAGTTGGTGATGATATAGTACTTTCTATATAAGAACTTGTATTTTTAGGAAAAGCTTGATAAATTGTATTTTGAAGCAATCCTGGTTGAAAATTTCCTGACATTAAATTAGGATCATATCCATCAGGTTGCATAATATATCCACTTGGTGGTCTTATCATTGGACGTGGATTTCTGAAATCATTTTGTTGATAATATTCAGGATTTCCTGAATATATAGGAGCACCCTGTCTTTGAATTAAATTATTATTATTGTTATTACCAGAAATTTCCATAATACGTTGTTGTTGTCGAACATTGGCATTCGATTGATTTTCACGTAAATTATCCAAACTATGCTGAGTTCGTATCCTCATTACAGGATAATTATACGCATTATCAGTACTAATTCTACTTCTATTAAATAATTTTGGTGAAGAATTAGAGTTGTTACGTTGATGATCAAAATTTGTCGGAGATTGACGAGCCGTAACCGGTGAAGAAGTTTGTTTTCGAACGTTTTCTAGGTTACGTAATTGAGGAGAATTTGAACGTTGTCGTTCCATGTAAACCACATTTTCTGGAAGAGGACCCCTGTTAATACGCGTATTAGGCAAAATATGTATTGGAGATTCTAAAGAATCCATGATTTCAGGCGATTGATAGCCCTTTGGTGATTGAGTTATTATTCTATTATCAGATGTAGGGGAATTAAATCCATAAGGAGAGAATTCTTGCTTCGGAGACATTTGGTGATTTCTCTGCGAGATAGATTGTTTAGTAGGAGATGTTAAAGGAGTCGAATATGGAGACATTATTTGTTGCTGCTGATGTATTTGTTGTTGAGGTGTTTGTTGTTGAAGAACTTGCTGTTGAGGCATTTGTTGTTGAAGACTTTGCTGTTGAGGAATTTGTTGTTGAGGAATTTGTTGTTGAGGAATTTGTGATGACATTTGTTGTGACATTTGTTGTTGTTGAGACTGCAAAGATTCTTGACTAGGATATCTTATCCTAGCTGTATAGAGAACAATTATTTTAGTATTTACACAAAAATTATTATAAAAATGATATCACAAAAATAATAAAGATTAATACATCACATGTATCTAAAATGTGAATAGTCCCATCTTCACCAGGTTTTGACAATTGATTCGATTCACCACCCAAAACAAATATCTTTTCATTTTCCGCACTCATGGTATGTAAATATCGAGGACTCGGTGCCGGACCCATTTTTTGAAACATATACCATCTTTGCGTACTTATTTGAAATGAGGTTAAATCACCCAATTCTTTACCTTCTTCATCTGTGCCACCGAATATGTATATGATTCCATCGACGATGGTAGCACCATGATATTTTCGTGGAAAAGGAATTAATCCATTGCAGGACAGTTGTGACCACGTGTTGTCATTTATATCGTAACACCACATGTCGTTGTAACACCTGTCACCATCCATTCCACCGAACCTAAAGTTTACAGTATTTAGGAAATATTTGACTGTTTAAAAGATTTTAAAAAAAAAGAAATTAGGAACACACATGTAAATTTTATTTTCATATGCACATGATATATGTGCAGTTCTTCCGGGTGGAGGCGGATTTTTTGGTGTGACAAATTCCCAGTTTGCACTTGAAGAGTTATCTTTTAGAAAGAATTAAAAATTTATAGAATATTAATTAATTATTCTCATACATAAATTTTTCAAATAAATTAAACGCTTACACATTCCCATATCAAAGACAATTAATTCATTTGAATAACTTTCTTCTGTTTGACCACCGAATATATACATTTTTGTTCCAATTACTGTGACAGAATGACCATGTCTTCCACGTGGCGGTGATTGCACTGAAAGTTGCTTCCACTTCTTTGTTGCTAAAATACATTTATTTTATTTATTTATTTATTCATATATATACCACATAAAACTCAACATAATAATTTAACTATTTATTATGAAATTTATGAAATTTATGATATCGAAACATTTTATTATTTACCTGTATCAAGGGCATAAAGATTCTCATCCATTTTCTGTTCGATCGTTAATCCACCGAATACTAAAATAATTCATGATAATTATTATGCAGGTTGACTTGATTAGTTCTGTAATTAAAATAATTATTAAAAATTACCGATCATGATTGATCCCATATTAACATGAGTGTGTCCTGCTCGTGGAGAAGGTATATCACCAGAAGTAACAATGTTTTGAACATTTAGCGAGCCTTTAAAAAAGAAATCGTAAGAAATAATTAAGATATAATTTAAGGGTTTTACCATTAGAAATTTATAAAGAATTTAAGCAATTACTTGTTTCGATTACATAGACTTCATTTGTAGTTTGGCCTTGATAAATTCCGCCAAAGATAAATAATTCATTATTAGTTGAAACATCGCTAGCAGAATGTTCAAATCTCGGAAATGGAATAGTATGACGAAGTTTTCTTTGGGACCAAGGATACGTGTTCGGTGGGCGTCTCTGAGCCATTTTATTTTAATATATTTTTTAATACTTTTTTCTTTTTTTCAATTATTAAATCGTTTAACATGCAAGTAGACAATAGGGTTAATATTGAAGTAAAGATAAAAATGAAATGATTAAAAGAAAGTTTTTTATTTTTACTATACAATGCGATATTTATGTGAAATATGAAAGATTAGATGTCTACTACATTTAGAAAGAGGAATTATACATAATCAGTATAATATCCAACAGAACTAAAAGTAATGTTGGGCGATAAAAAAAAGTTTACTAGGGTGTTAATAATGTGTATATAAATATTCAACTTTTCGTGTGCAACCGCTCACAGTGTCATGTACGCATTAAGTGCATAAAACGACCTAACGTAGTCTTTAAAGTGACATTCGTTTCTAAATTAGAGAAAATTATTAAAACGTTTTGTAATCCAATTTAATGTAATACAATGTTCTTGTTTGTAAGTAAAGTCATACTTTATATTGTAGATGACTAAGACTTTAGGCATTAAAACATCAAATAACATACGACAATGAAATATGAACGTCGTTCCAAATTTTACGACGTTTCAAGTGCCTTCTATATAAATGAGAGGCCGAGGTACCAAAGTCTTCGAAAGGACTTTTTAATGACTTCTAGTTTCTTAATAGATAAGGAGCAAAATTTGTAATAATAAACGCACCAATAATTTATTAGAACTAAATGACTTCATAAAATCAATAAAAAAAATTTATTATTAATGCAACGACAATATTAAATACTAATTTCTTTGTGAAATCTCAAACTCGGAGTAGGTTTTTTTACATTCGGTAGTGATGACAGTTTTTTTTTCGTTAAGCTTATCGTATAAATAACGATTCTCTTGCATAATTTTCAACTTTAATTACTTTATCTCAAACAAAATATATATATTAATGAATATCGATATTGATTTTTAATCCATGTATTACGCTAATAAATTAAAATATTTGTTACAAATAAAGAGAGGATGTATGCGTTACTGCATCATTTAACTAAATTTGTGTTAGTGATGACCCATAATAAGAAATTAAAGCGTTTTTCTTTCAAAAAAAAAATTTATATTGTACGCACATACAGCACTCACGTACGTACGTACGTGCGCAAATTAAAGAAATTGTACAATTAAAAATAAATAATAATAATTTCATGGTGCAAGATCTACTAGAATAATACAACTATTTATTTTGTGAATAAAAATTCTCCGATTAATTTTCGTATCCTTTAATCTTTAATACTTTTAAGTACAGTATAAAGAATTCTCAAACTGTAATGTATCACGTAACAAATTTAGACACAATTCTTGTTTGAAGCTTATGTTTGTCGCAAATGAAATTACGATATCTGATTTTTTATATGGTACAAGTTCTTATTGAGTTGATTGGTTGTAATACTGTAATATGATTACTCAATAACCACGTTCTGCATGGATTTACCTGGTAAAAGTTATTACAGTATACCTTGGTACTGGACTGTGTCACCCCACATAACCCATTTGAGTTTTCTATTGCCCTAGTAGACTAAACACTCTTTTGGGTGAGAAAGTCTTTATTCTTTATATATTGACAGGAATATGCAATGTATATGTGCATATATGTTATATATTCGTTAATATCATATGAGCAAATACATCAAATGTTGATAAAATTTGTAGATCACTGCATGCCCGATTGTCCGATTGCAATCGGTTGTACGTGATCGTTATGCGTTTCTCAGCAATTTTTTTTTTTTTTTTTGAATTTTATGAATCTATAGAATTCAGTTAAAAAAAATTTTATCGAATTTGATCAAGTGGTTGCTGAGATATTATCGCTCAAAGTTTTTTTTTTAAAAAATGCAATGTTTATTGTAAATAGAAGCTGCGCCAAAATTTCTTAAAACTTTGATCAAAGATAAATTCGATGAAATTTTTTTTATTTGAATTCTATAGATTCGTAGAATTAAAGTGAACAAATTTTCATCGAATTTGATCAGGTGGTTGCTGAGATATCTTTCCTAAAACTTTGAGCGAAGATACCTCAGAAACCACCTGATCAAATTCGATGAAAATTTTTTATTCGAATTCTAGATATTCATAGAATTCATAAAAAATTTCATCAAATTTGATCAGGTGATTTCTGAGATATCTACGTCAAAGTTTTTTTAAAAAAAAAAAAAAATCAAAAAAAAAACAAATTCACTATAGTACAAGAGTGAAAAAATGCAGTAATCTCGTTTATTTGAGCCAATATTTCAAAGAGCAAGATTTTTATAAATGTCTTGCTATTGCGCATTGATCACTTTAGATCGATCTTTTCAAAATCAAGGTAGGTACCATGAATTTTCATCATAATATCAAAATAGAAGCGCGCCAAATTTTTCCTAAAACTTTAAGTGAGGATATCTCAGTAAACATCTGATCAAATTCAATTTTTTTATTGAATTCTATGATCCATAGAATCCAAATAAAAAATTTAATCAAATGGGCAGTGTTCTGAGAAAAGGGCCCAAATTGATAAAAAATTTTTTTCACAAAAAATCAATTATCTTGTGAAATATTAATCAGAATTGCATGATTTGGTACCATTCGATTCATCTCATTGAGAGGAATCGAATGATACTAAAATTATACAATTTTGATTAATAGTTCATGAGAAAATTGATTTTTTGCGAAGAAAATTTTTTATAAATTTGGGCCCTTTTCTCAGAACACTGCCAAAATAGTTGCTGAGATATCTTCGTTTTGCTCAAAGTTTTAAGAAAAATTTATGTAGTTTTTATTTAATAAATGTTTAGCTATTTTTAAAAAATTTTGAGCAAAGATATCTTAGCAACCACCTAATCAAATTTGATGAAATTTTTTTATTTAAATTCTATAGATCTATCATAATCATCATCATCATCATTATTATTATTAAAATGCAAATATCTGTGCAACCAGCCAATCAGATATTTCTAATATATCATACTCAAATAATATTTTTTACAACAATTCAACCATAATTTACCAAACGAGGTTAAATTACCACCCAAAAAAATTTCAGTTCATGATTTACATATCACTTTTATTAAAATTTTATTATAAACATTTACTTTGTCTTATTTCCTGAGCAAATTATTACTATGAAGAATATATACAGGTACGTATCTTCTATCATCAAGCTACCTAATCAGTATTGTGTATTTTTTTTCACTACTTTCCTTTAACTGTCACTGACGAATTATTACTTGCATTTAATTATTGCTATATATACTAATCCATTATCTCATATTTATTCAATATCTGCATACTTATAGATTCATTAAAATCTTGTTGTAATTGTATAAATTTAGTTTGAACAGTTTCTTTCTCGTTTAAAGCATTCATTAAACGTTT